TATAACGAACCTCTATCCAGAACCTCTAAAAGGGATATTAATTAAAAGTAATTTCTAAATAATCTTAATTCGGTATAACTAAATAATATATAATAAAATATTTTAATATAAATATTAAATACCGTAAATATAAACTTAAATTATATACTACGGAACTATCTATTTATACCGGCTAGTTCCTCCGTATATATAGACCTTAGGACCGTGGACCATTAACTTATAGACGGTCCTCGGTCCTCTCTTGATTAGCCGATACTAGACCGTGGACCGTGAGCTCCGCCGCGGTCCCCGGTCCCTATTTAATTAGTCCGTTTACCTACCTGGACCGTAAGCCCCGCTCGATTGCGCGGTCCAGTCCTGATTGGTCCGTTGTGGCCCCACTGTCTTCCAGAACCGTGACAGTACGGAACTATAATTAGCGTTTAACGAAATTATATATTTAACGTTAACTAATAGGGAGCGTATTACGTATACGTAGTAATTAGTTAGCTATATCTTCTACGCTACTTAATTTAGGTAGAAATGCGCGTGTAAATAGCTTAAAAACGTATTAAACTATCGTCTTCTCCTCTAAATCCGTTAAATTACGTAAATTAGCTAGAATATCGCGTCGTGCAGGCTTACCAGCGCGCCGGCGATAGAGGGTAGTATAAGGCACAGAATAAAGCCTCGCTGTAGCTTTGAGGCTTAGCTTAAGGTTATTTTTAAGGGCTTCGAGTGTAAGAATAACTTTTGCTTTAACTAGAATCGAAGATATCTTAGTATGGTGGAGGAAATCGATGTTGCAGGTAGAGAGCTATATCGCGTACGAAATCGATCCACTCGCTTGTCCGATCCGCTCGCTTATCAAATACGTTATAGCATATGGAGCTACCAACCCACACACCCACACTAGCCGGGGTGTGACGAACCCCTGATCAGAACCTCTGAAAGGGATACTGGTTGAAGGCTGCTTCTGAATAACGGTTCATGAAGTGTAGCCAAAAGGTACACAACAAAGATCACCAATTGTCTCTCGTAAGTGCTTGGTCCTAGAACTCACGATGTGAATTGCATACTACAGAACTGTCTACAACCAGCCAGTTTCTCCGTATATATAGACCTCAGTCTCTCCTAGACCGTTGAACCGTTCTTATCTTGTCAGCCCATCGGTCCCCTTGTAATTGGTTGTTGTGGACCGTTGGACCGACCTCTACCTATCGGTCCATCGGTTCCCTTCTAATTGGTCACCTACACGGATCTCCTTATCGTGATACCTCTTTCTTATTGGCTCGTTTATTGTGTCTGCGTCTGCCCGTGTTCAAGGTCGTAACATGGCACACTCTTTTAGGGTAGAAGGGAGTAGGAATAATAATAAAGTATTGCTCAGTTAGTTGGGACCGTGCTCACCCATTTTAGGAATACTTTATAGATCGTACCACGAACGTTGCGGTAGATTGTTCAGAACTGACCATCCAGCGATGATATTAGAGAGTGACCCCTGCATTTGTTTCAGGGACGCCACGGCACGGGCCACTACGCTTCCCTTTCGGCCCCGCACAGCAAATCCTTTTCTGACGGACTTGGTGGCCTTGGTATGACTGCGCTTACCTTTTTACATATTCCAACTGCGTATCTTAAGGTGTCTTTCCTGAGGAGCCTATTTAAGACGATCGCAAGGGAGATTAGAAGTGATTTCATGTCGTTGCTTATGTATCGATTATCGAGGATGCCTTCCAGAGTTCTGCCTGCAGATGGCGGCCTCAAAACGTTTTGGGAAGTTTCTATTGGCGCGTGAGCCAGCCACATCATATCGTTGGGCTTCAACTCCGCGGCAACCGCTCAGAAAATCCATCGTCGATCTCGTCAACTATCTTTGACACAACTACGACAGATACGTCCCTAATCGAGAGTGCACGAGAAGGTCATAGCTAACAGTCTAAGGAAGAGGTTTGGATTATTCAGATAGAAAAAAGAGAGTTGGGAGAAGTCGAAGGTACAGGACGGTCCGGAAATACATAGCAGCATCGCCTCAGCGAATTCATTAGAAGGTACGGATCAGCGGTGAACCCTCCTTCCCTTACTAACAGGCTCTAGTTTCCGTTCTTCGCCCTAAGCAAGCCGCTTCATTGACCACAGTAACCCCTTTACTCCCGCAATCGACAATAAATGCCCCTCAAACCCCCGCTCCAGTAATACCGCTTACCCCTTTAAATAAAATATTACCCGTTCTAAACAACACCAGCGATTAGGCCGCAAGGGCACCTCAAACGGCAATAGATAGCCAAGCAGTAGAGATCGGAGAAAACTTAGTTACGTATATCTCTCTTTGGGATAGAGCCTACGATGCTCTTAAGGAAGAAAAGCCCGATCGAGTCACTGAGTATAAATAGCTTTTATTTAGGGTACTTATTAAAGGTATACCTTTAACCCGGCTTAAACTATTTCGCTCGCGCTAATTTAGGAGAATATAGTCCTATCTATATCCCAATTAATATCGAACTAGACGAAAGATATTAAGATTGCGAATTAAGTCCCCTAGAACGATCCGATCGCACGCCGAAAGAAGCTAAAAGAAATAACGGAACTTAGTTTAAAGTATATAGAAAATAAGAAGGTTAGTATAATACTACTGGGATACGAGATTATCCTCCAGGATGTCGTGGTAAAGGTCGCCGGAGCTATGGAGTGGGTCGAGGGCCATATTAAGGACGCTATAAAGGACCTACTATACGCCTCTATCGTTATAGCAGGCGTATCCCTCGTACTCCCCCTCCTAAAGAACCCCGCTGCCGCTAAAGAAGCGAACCGGGATAGGTTTACTTACGTTACGTTATAAATACGTTACTTCGCCGTAATAAAATTATTATTATTACCTTAAAACACGAAGCCCGACTTAAAGGACGACCTTACTAAACGTTTTATTAACTTATATAAACTTATTATTAACTTTCAAGTACAAAGCGTTATTCGGTTCTACCGCACTTAAACCAAGAATATTTTCCGAGGAGCTATCAACTACGACGGCTAGGATTAAAAGCTATAGTATATTAAAGATACCGACGTAGCGCTAGTTTCGAGGTTTAAAACAATTATATTTACTAGCCGTCTTTAGGTATTAAGGGATTTTACTAAGAAAGTAAAGGAATTACGTATAGCCTTTTACAGTTTATTTATTAAGGTGCAGGAATATATCAAAGTTTCTCGATAATAATTAAACGTTCTTTAGAAGATTAGCTAGTATATAACGGATCCCTAGGACTATGCCTATATATAAAGTCTCCGAATAACCGATCCGTATAACGATAAGAGCCGTATCGAGTAAGCTAAAGGCGGCCTTCTAATAGGCTCGTACTACTAGGTCCTCGATAACGACGATTTTAAATAATAACGCTATAACCAAGACAGCCGGCTACTATAAATTAAGGGTAACCCCGGTAAGGGCAAAATAATATTACTCTATAAAATTATTAACGAGTTAATAAAGTCGATCCCTAATACTATAATTATTTTATTCTTCTTCTGCTAGGCTACTAATGCGCATATAAATAACGCTACGGCTGTCCTTCGCGGCCTAATATTCCTTCTTATTAGGCACCAGCTATTACTTATTTCGCACGTATAGTAAAGGTACGATTAGGCAGGGAAGTAACTTTTCGAGGATATAAATACCTAGGAGGCGCTATTAAAGATTTTTACTAGCATTCTCGAGGATCCGTACCTATAAAGCACCTACCTAGTTATTAATACGCTCGACGAATATACCGGAGATTTAAGCCGACTCCTTAACTTTATTACTAAAACGTTATTAATATACTCGAATATTAAGTGGATCGTATCTAGTCGCAACTAACCGAATATCGAAAAGGATCTTCTCGATACGATATAAAAAGTAAGACTATGTTTTAAGTTAAACGAAGAATCTATATCTACGGCTATTACTAATTATATTTAGTTTAAAGTCGATTTATTAGCGAAATAAAACTAGTACGATAACGATACGCGAGACGCTATCCGGGCCCACTTGTCGTCGAACGTATACGGTACTTTCCTTTAGGTAGCTTTAGTTTGCTAGGAACTTGCTAGTATCTCGGGATGGGAAGTTAAAGAAATGCTAACGGCGTTTCCGCCCGGACTAGATGCCTTTTACGAGCGGATAATAAGTTAGATCTGTAGTTTAAGAAACTTTAAACTCTGTAAAAATATATTGGCCGTCGTCTCGGTTATACGTTGGCCAATTACGTTAAATAAATTACCCTTTTTAGTAGATATATTTCCTCGATGCTTTGGTAGTCGCGAAGTTCTAGTAAAAATCGTAGGGCTTTGTGGCTCTTTTCTAACGCTCCGAGATTATACTATTACATTCGTTTATTAGTTTATTAAAGATTTTTTGGTCTAAAAGGTATTTAGGGAAATCTTCCCTTCCGGGATATAATATATATACCGCTCTATCTTCTTACGATCGCTACGAGTTTTAGTTAATATACTACGTCGTGATATTTACGGCCTTAGCGCTTCTAGATTCCCTATCGACTAAGTTAAGTAGCCTAATCTAGATCCGCTAGCTCCAGCGCGATATTCGTATATATATTGGATTGACTATTTAAGTGAATGTAACCCTACCCGCAATAAGGTCGAGTCCATTAATAGGTTTCTACGTCGGAACTACCTTTATTAGCTTAAAGCTCTAAGTCTTCTCCGTATAATGTCGGGTAGAGTTATTACTATAGGGCGGCTTAAGGGCTTACTAGTAAGCACCGAACTATTAAATATTAGAAAACTAAACTAAATTACTACAGGAACGCGAGAATCGAGGGCAATTAATAAACTTTATTCGCGATATACAACAGTTTACTCTAGCCTACAAATAAATAATAGAGCAAGCCCCTCTTTAAGCATATATATTAGCCCTTATATTTATACCAAGTAGCAGCTTAGTAAAGAAAATCTTTAAAGAAGAAAAGCCTGGATAGCTTAGTACGAGACTAGTTATAGAAATGTAATGGAATGCCTGCATATAGACGTTAGAGGGCCATGGCGACTCGGTCTGGTCGGTCGCGTTCTCGCCGGACGGCCAGCGCGTGGTATCGGGCTCGCTCGACAAGACCGTCAAGATCTGGGATACGGTATCGGGAACCTACACACAGACGTTAGAGGGCCATGGCGACTGGGTCCAGTCGGTCGCGTTCTCGCCGGACGGCCAGCGCGTGGCATCGGGCTCGCTCGACATGACCATCAAGATCTGGGATACGGCATCGGGAACCTGCACACAGACGTTAGAGGGCCATGGCGACTCGGTCCAGTCGGTCGCGTTCTCGCCGGACGGCCAGCGCGTGGCATCGGGCTCGGTCGACAAGACCATCAAGATCTGGGATACGGCATCGGGAACCTGCACACAGACGTTAGAGGGCCATGGCGACTGGGTCCAGTCGGTCGCGTTCTCGCCGGACGGCCAGCGCGTGGCATCGGGCTCGCACGACATGACCGTCAAGATCTGGGATACGGCATCGGGAACCTGCACACAGACGTTAGAGGGCCATGGCGACTCGGTCTGGTCGGTCGCGTTCTCGCCGGACGGCCAGCGCGTGGCATCGGGCTCGCTCGACATGACCATCAAGATCTGGGATACGGCATCGGGAACCTGCACACAGACGTTAGAGGGCCATGGCGACTGGGTCCAGTCGGTCGCGTTCTCGCCGGACGGCCAGCGCGTGGCATCGGGCTCGCACGACAAGACCGTCAAGATCTGGGATACGGCATCGGGAACCTGCACACAGACGTTAGAGGGCCATGGCGACTAGGTCCAGTCGGTCGCATTCTCGCCGGACGGCCAGCGCATGGCATCGGGCTCGCACGACATGACCATCAAGATCTGGGATACGGCATCGGGAACCTGCACACAGACGTTAGAGGGCCATAGCGACTCGGTCTGGTCGGTCGCGTTCTCGCCGGACGGCCAGCGCGTGGCATCGGGCTCGCTCGACAAGACCATCAAGATCTGGGATACGGTATCGGGAACCTACATATAGACGTTAAATATTGGTTTAACTACTACCTATCTATCGTTCGACTATACTAACGCTTATATTAATACGAATATCGGGCGTATCCAAATAGCTACGGCTACTATAGAAAGTCCAAATCAGCTAAGTAGTCCGGTATGTTATTCGTATAGTTTAAGATAAAACTACCGCTAAATTACTTACAATAATAAAAACGTATTATAGTTACCACCAGAATGCCCTGCACGTGCTTTTACCGTGCAAGGGCGCAAAATAGTTCTTGGCTATTACTCAGGACGTATTATAATATTCTCATTCTCTCGAAATATTTAATATTTTAACCTTCGGCTTCTTTCTCTCTTATATTTTTTTTTCTCGTTTACCACTAAAGGGGTATAGGGGACTAAATATATTTATAAAATAAATAATTCTTACATTTTCAATCCTATAAAAACGATATATATCCCCCGTTTAAGTAGCAATATCATAGTATATAGCTTCTTCCAAAACGATAGATAAGTCGATAACGTAAAATAAGCTTATGGTAATGGCAATTGTCCTTAGCAGTGGTTCGAAGGAGGCGTAGCGTTACTACGCGCTCCGGCTAGCTTATTATAGAGATTTGGACCTAGTAGATTAGTATTAAACCGAGGTCGTACACTTATTGATTGAGGTGTTTAACTGCCGTAGGGATATAATTGGTCCGTATAAAATCTTGCTGCTGTTCCCCTGGTGGCCTTTTTGGGTATAGGCTTTTCGTTATTGCGCAGTAAGTATCGCCGTCTTTATTAAACGTAAAAGGAGTCGATAAGTCTAGAAATATAAAAGTTCGAACTAGGGAGAGAGTAATAATCCAGTAATTTATTAAGTTTTACCACTTATTGATAAATGTGCTTATGTTAGAAATACGGAACCGAAAATATAATAACAGCTTATAGCTTTCCATGTAAAGTTAACCGCCGTTTGGTTTGGTTTGGTAGCATGAATCACTTTATCATATAATAGAGGAATCTACATCCTCAGGAATCTAGAATCTGGGGTCTGGGATCTGTAGCTGGGCTCGAGGGAGTAAATAACCTTATATTTGTCCAATTCGCGGTGAGGCTAGGCTGAGGGGTTTCGCTGTGCCGTAGGGATCAATAAACCCAGCCGAATCTTCAATAAAGGCGTGACTTAAGGCAGTATAGCACGATGATGAAAACGGGCTGGTAAAGTTAGTACCTACCCAGTCAAAGAGTAGAATTGGGCAGTTAACTATCATGCATTTTGGGAATGCATTCTCCATGTATACCTCATTGGCACTAGAATCCCGAAATTTATTTTTGTCGCCCCGTTTTTATTTTCAAGTTTTATTTTCTATTGGCGCTTATGCGCCTGAGGCCATTGGAAGATAGGGGGGAGTGAATATAAAAATGGGAAGAGAAATCTTCCTCAATTTTTGGCAGTATGTCTTCCAGAATCAGCATTGAATTTCCCTCGAACTGATAGTCTGGGTGCATACTGCGGAACTGTCTATCTACACCAGCCAGTTCCTCCGTATATATAGTCCTTGTGCCAAGCCGTGATCAGTCTCCCAAGGCCACTGATCACCTCGGCTCAGTCTGCTCAGTGCCCTGATCACACTGATCACCTCTGCTCAGTCTGCTCAGTGCCCTGATCACACTGATCACTCTGCTCAGTCTGCTCAGTGCCCTGATCACACTGATCACTCTGCCTTCACTGTGATTGGCTCCCCTATACGTTCTCCCGATTGGCCCCTTATTCCCGTGGCCCCACAACCGTCCTGTACCAGGGTTGTGACATATGAAGACAGCCTTTGACTCGGGCGGCGCATTGGGAGGCATGCTCACACTTTCAGTCTTAAATCTTCTCAAATCAAGCACAATTTAGCATAGTGGTAAAAAACTGACATTATTAATTACCAAAGGTACCTACGCACCCGGACACATACTGGGTACTCTTAACCGACTCGCACGAATCCTACTGGGCTTGCAAACGGTGATGAAGGAAGGCTTGGATGGAATTCTGACGACTGCGAGCGCTAACCAGGTACACAGTACGTAGATAGCTCGGATGTAATTCACAAAGCCTGTTTACGCGGAGCTATGAATAGCATTGCCTGAGAACGAATGAGATTCCGTCCGATCAGATGGAGAGAAGTCAGGTATCTAGAGCAATGTAACGGTTTGCGAATAAACCACTACCAAAAGAGAAAGTTTCGCAATACTCTCAATGAGTAGGACAATCTATATAAGTATGGCTAGATTACTTCATTTTATCCTCGTAAACTAGACTGTGGTGGTTCGGGGTGCGGTCACAGGCCTAAGGGTATGAGTGAGGAAGTGGGACTCTCGGAGGATTCGGGGGTTCAGGGGTCATGTATATAAGTGGTCTGCTTCTAACATTCTTATTTTAGACAGGACATCGACTCTTATTTCTTTAAATTTTATGCTTTACACGCGTGCTGGCAATTCTGGCCCTCTGATCAGGCCAATCCTGTGACAAGGGCTGGGTATCAGGGCTTGGAACTCATGGTTCAATTCAGGCTAATAATCTTCAATGGCCTCGAAGTTTGTGATACCGAAAAGAAGGAGAAAAGATACAGTCTTGGTGTTTCCAAACGCGTATTTTTATCCTCCCTCGCGTGGCCCGTGCCTTTGTTGGCCTCAGGCCATCGCCAAGTCCTTTGATATCCTACTGGGCCAGTGGGCTTCCTTTGATAACCGCCATGCCTCTGATTGTCTGCCTCACTTTGAACGAGACGCTCACAACTTGCAGTTACCCCTCCTTGCGGTGGTATCGACAGTGTTGTTGGTTGTGGTTGCAGGTGGGTGGCTTTTACCGTGTGACAAATCCGGTGGTTATTATGAGGCCTGCAAGCCCATAGTGTCTTCTCTTTGTCCTGCGTGAAGTGCGGCCTGCGAGCGAGTCACTGTCATGAAGGTGTGTTCATTCAGGGACCTGTGGACGGTATACTTGTGGTGTTGTGGTTGTTTTGTGTGTTTTCTCACCATTTCAGTGGAAGTATAGTATGATACACTGTTAGAATAAGGTACCTATTAAAGTGCCCAGTTCACATGAAGTGGAAGGGTGATAGAGAGGAATGAAATGCCTTGTGTTATCGCAAATTCCGAGTCTGGAACCATGGGTGATCCATAACCTCGGTGACCTTCAGTCTTTCGCCAACGTTCCAAACAAATATCCCTTTCAAGAGATGAAGTTGTGCGGTTTCTCTATTTCTCATGCCAAGATTCACAATCTCTCCTTTCAGGAAGCCAGCATCTTGGCCACTAGTGCCTGTTGGGAGAGTGGCATCCGGGGTTAGGTGGTTCGTTCTCAGCTTGCCCTGATAAGCTTTTGGGATTGATCTACAAAGGTCTTCCCATTGCTTCAGCATCGCCTCCTTGTCGTCAAGCTTGTCAGGTTGTCCCGCAAACCATTCATAGGTTAACTTCTCCTGAGGGTTCCATTCCGTCTGTCCCTCTCCATCACCAAATGGCAACATGCCAAGCATTATCTTAACAATGGTGCACCCCAACGACCAGACTTCGCTTTCAGGGCTTGGGTCTCGCCATCCAAATAACACCTCAGGTGGGGTGTATTCCTTTAGTAGAGCATCCTTCTGATCCTGAGCCAAGTCTCGGTGGTACATGTTATGGTATGGTGTAGTATTGACAAAGTGCTACCACGGAATAAAACCACTACGGCCCTGCAGGCCCAGAATATAACCATCAGGGATCAACCAGAATGGTGGCCCCACATCTCCTCAGGCGCAGTATATACTGTGACAGTACATTCCTCCCGGCGCAATTTGCTGGCCATAGAACTCCTTAGGAGCGTACCAAGGTTTTGAGGTTCGACTCATTGAACCGCCAGGCGGCGCCCATATCAATGAGATAGGCCTTCGGTATCTTATCATCATCATCCTCCGTATGGTAATCCGTAATATTCTTCCTCTTTGCCGCTGGCCTCGCAGCCAGAATCTCATCCAACAACTGGTAACCCAACTCTGCCTTCAAAACCAAAAAGTCCGGCCTCACCCCTCTAAACCCAGCTTCTTCCCCCTTAACCGGCAGTCCGTGTTATACCCCCTCGGACACCCCCTATAAATCCCTCCCACCTCCTCCACCCTCAACCTCCCCAGCCCCCTAACCTCAAACAATATATTCTCCGGCCTCGCATCCCCATGACACAACCCCAACCCGTGTATCGACTCGACCGCATCCGCAACCATGTAACAAACCTGCTTCTTCACCTTCCAGATACTCCTCCCTGATTTCTCCGCAAGATATCTTAGATACCCCTCGTCATCAACCCTTGGTCCTAAGACAGGGTAAACCAACCCGCTCCTAATGTCGTTCATCCTCCCGTTGTCATTAATTTGGAATTTATCCAACGGCACGGCAAGACGCAGTTTCTCATAGGCGATTCTTTCGCCTATTCCGAGGACGTCACGCTTTTGCCAGATGAAAAAGACTGTGTCCCTGTGGTGAATGCGGGAGGCGCGGACGTGGAAGATGTGGATGGCTTTGTAGGGACGGCGGCGGGCGTTTTGGCCGAGGCAGAGCCAGACTGTGCTGTTGCGGCCATGGCCTAGTTTGTTGAGGACGAGGAGACGGGAGGCGATGACATCTCCGGGGAGTATGGGGTGAAAGCCGAGGGAGCGGTAGAGATAGGGGGATTCGACGAGGGTGGGGAGGGATTGGAGGAGGGTTGTGGGGTTAATGAAGTTGATTGCTGGGGGGTCAGGGGTGGTGGTGGAGGGGGCGAATTGGTTGTTGCTGGTCATATTTTGGTGGTTTCTTGGGTGTCTTGGAGGAGCTGTCTATTGATGTGAAGTCTAAAGGAAAGTTATTTCTATAGGTTGTTGAGAGAAGCTGAAATCCTTTCTCGAATGGTCAGCGGTGTGGAAGAAGTTCAGACAATCGCTTTGTCGATGCCCGTCAGTCTCTTTGTCACGGCACGTTTGAGTTACTGTAGTGAAAAAGCAAAAGACCCTCAGAGATACAATTCTTATTCCAATTCACGAGTATCCAAAATCTGCTAGTTCTCCAGTGTCTCATTCATTTCCCAAAAGCCAAAAGTCAAAAATCCTAACTGGGTCTATAACCTGGTCTGTTGAGCAGGATTCCCGTAACGGGAAACCAGATCCCTGATGTCGCTGAGTACCCTAAACGGAGGTCAGGAAAGTAATAGACCTTTGCATGTTGTGGAACGCATCAAGTGCATTCAGGGCTTGTCACGTACTGTCCCGCAAGGTCTGGTTATCAAAGAACAAGGCGGAGACGTGTGTGTTGAACCTACTATTAAAGCGTCATTAGCACAAAGTATCTCCTACACTATCCTTCTGGTGACATGCAGCTTGTAAAGATCAATTCGCCCATCATAGTCCTCCTCAGGTGCTGATCGATTCACTCGTTGATGGTATGCCTTGACGTATTTATCGTCAAAACGATTGCATGATGGCTTCCATTGACCAAATTCATCTATAGTCTTTATCAGCACCTTTCACCTGATCGATAGGAATACCTAGCTTACACTCGTTATGTGCATAAAAGCAACAGGCGTCAAAGATCAAGCTACCCTCTGTTTCGACGTCTACGCCAGAATTAGCGTACCACAAATCGCCATGGACAAGCGAGGGCTTGACAGATCGTCCTTCCGTCTCAAGTGGGCGAAGGAGTCTTGGGATGACAGTCTCAAAGAGAATTGGTACTAGAGCATCCAATTCAGGATCTGGTCCTTTGGCTTGCATCTCGAGATCCAGTGCATGACGAAGACTCTTGGCGAAGAAGACCTCCCAGCTGTCTTCCCACTCCACCATTTGTGGAAGATTCCCGGCGTAGGTTGTGGTGTGGAACCCAAACTTGCCGGTCGGGGACTGGCTCTTCTGATGCAGCGTCGCAAGTTTTCTGGTGAACTCCTCGGGCTCTGGGAGCTGATCGTCGACCATTTCTCGAAACTCGCACAGGAAAAAGTAGGTGTCCGGAAGTGAATCATATGGTCCATAGGCGATTGGCTTTGGCGCAAAGTCAGGGGTGACGGAATGGATTGCCTTCATGGACTCAAACTCTACCTTCACCATCTTGGAGCCGATCTCGCCAGACAAGACTTTGATGAAGAAGGACAACTCAGATCCATCCTCCAGCTCGACATCGATTCGTCCGGTGTTTGCCCAGAAGCTGACTCCATGGCCCTCGGTGGAAACAACATTGGAGCCAACAGGCAGTTCTCGCCAATCGTGATGTTAGCGGAACCAACTGATAATGCAATGTTGTACAAGGGTACCTCTCAAAACAGCCGGATCAAGATCTGTGTTGTCTCCTCCGAATTCCAGCCCCGGTGCGCCGTTATAATTCATTGCAAGGCTTGGTTTGAGTAGCGCGAGAAGGTGAGGTTTCCAAATAGCCGCTGGATCCAATTCGAACGGCGAGCGGGGTAATAATGATGGGGGCGATGAAGGAGCAAAGCGGCGGTTGCTCACATCTGCAGAGATGCCTGAGGACGCCTTGATTCACTATAAAAGGATTAGTGCATGGTGTGAAACTGGCTGTCTCGAATATATCCGTTTGCTGCTCATTGTTGGTTTCAACGCCTCAACCTTGCAGACAAAACCACCCACCGACCGTAAAACCTGCATCATGACACCTACCCCGCCAATTGCGCCTCATGACCACAAGACCTACATGCGGTACGCTCTTGAACAGGCGAAGCTCTCACCACCCTCGCCTTCAAAGTTTTGCGTAGGGGCTGCTCTGGTTGACGCCGACGCGAACCAGGTTCTCTCAACAGGTTACTCGGAGGAACTGGCCCGCGACCGACCAAACGATCCCGGATCTACCCACGCTGAGCATTGCTGCTTCATCAAAGTAGCTGACGAGAATGGAATCCACGACTTTGACATCGCGCCTGTCCTTCCGCCCAATACGGTACTCTATACGACCATGGAGCCTTGCAACGAGCGGTTGAGCGGAAACCGGACATGTGTTGAGAGAATTCTGGGACTTGGGAGCGCGATCAAGGTGGTTTATGTCGGAATTCGCGAGCCAAATACGTTCATTCAAGATAACCAGGGTATCAAGAGGTTGGAAGCCGCTGGCGTGAAGGTTGTCTTGCTGGAGGACGACGAGACTCTTCGTCAAGAGATCCTGGAGGTCACGTTCGCTGGACATGAAAAGAGGGGTTGAGACGGGAGTGGGGGACTAGCAGGCTGGGGGTTGTCGACCACGAGCAATTCAGCAGGGCAATTCAAAATCAAACATATGCTGTCAAGAAATTCTCGATGAGATACTGTTGTCGTAAACATGGATCGTGTGAAACTCAGTCAAAATAACTCGAAAATCAAAGTTGGAGCCAGTGTTTCATGACGTTGAGCCAATCAACGGGCGGGGAGGAACGGTAGCAATAATATGAGGATGCACGGGAGGTAAGGGCAGGGGACTGGAAGCACGGGCGCGAACCTGCAGCAGTGCAGCCCAATGGTGCTGTGCCACAGCCACGGCCGGCGAGATGGTCCACGAGTCTTGTGCAGTCCATGTCGCAGAGTCCTCTTTTCCGCGCATCCACGAGTGTCACGACATCTCCAGGAGCATTCTCTGTAGCGACTTCTGGCCACCACAATACTCGTTAAGAAAAACATGGGTGACGCAACAAAAGACTGTCGTCTCTTGAGCCACGAGACTTGAAAATGGTGAGTTCAATGTTCTGTCGCGACACGTTGGGGGTATTTAGCAATCATGTGCTGACAGGAATCTCATCCCAGTCCCTCGGGCGATTTCGACGAAGCAGGGATCGCAAGAGCACCTTCGACATCAGTTTTCCCATCAGACAATTGACCGCCCATTCTCCAGAAGGCTCCGACCTCAGCCGCGCAACAACAATCGTCGACGATGGGGTGGATGATGCGAAAGGGCCGCTCGGGCTCAACACTCTACACGCACCTCCAGGCCCAACCTTCGATTTAGTATTAGTACATGGGCTTGGAGGAGGTTCGAGAAAGACATGGAGCAAAACAACATCGCTGAAGGATTACTGGCCTGCAGAGTGGCTGCCGAAAGACCCTGCCTTTACCAATGTTCGGATTCACAGCTATGGCTACAATTCGGATTGGACGAAAAGGAACGATAACTGCCTCAACGTTCACCACATTGGCAAGGCCTTCCTGGGTGATCTGGCGACATCGCCACATATCGATGGAAGTAACACCAACTTGGTGCTGATTGGCCACAGCATGGGTGGTCTGGTCGTTAAGAAGACCTACATGTTGGCGCGTCAGGACCCGCTGTACCAGGCACTCGCCGCTCGAGTCCGTGCAATTTTCTTTCTTGGAACACCGCATCGTGGGTCAGACTCAGCAAAGCTCCTGAAGAATATCCTTCAAGTTGCTTCTTCGGCACCCGCTTATGTGACAGACCTTGTTCGAGGATCCGGGGCTATCCAAAGCATCAACGATGAATTCCGCCAATACTCGGCCGATGTGGAGCTGTGGTCATTGTACGAGACACAAAAGCTTGCAGCCAAAGGGTTCAGCACTCTCATTGTCGATCCAGAATCAGCTACCTTGGGGTACCGTGAAGAAAGACAAATACCAATAAACGCTGACCACCGATCCATTTGCAAATTCGACACACCACTTGATCCGAACTACGTGACGTTAAGGAACGCCCTCGCCTCCTCCATACGTGGAATAGCAGAAGCAGGTATGGGGCGTCCTCACGATCTGGAGATTTGGCAAGCAAATGCTAACATCATGAGTCAGAACTGACAGCCGCACAAATAACACAGCAAAGCACCATTCAGGATCTTGCCGACTTTCTCTCCATCAGCGATAACGTCGATGATGACTTCTTCACTGTTCAGGACGCGCGTGTCGACGGTACATGTCGGTGGTTACTGGACAAGAGCGGATATCAAAACTGGAAGAATGCGGATTCTGACAGCCCATCCATTCTCTGGATTGATGGAAAGCCTGCCACCGGCAAGACCGTACTGTCCGGATTTGCCATCGACGACATCTTCGAGGCTGGCAGTCCATGCAGTTACTATTTCTTCAAACACAGCGAAAAGTCGAAATCCAAACTCAGCTCATGTCTGCGTACTCTTGCATTCCAGATGGCCATGCAGGATGCTGGTGTGCTTGCTAAGCTATCCGAGCTCCAGAAGACAAACCCCAACCTTGACCTGGAGAGCGAGCGTAGCATTTGGAGGTCGCTGTTCATATCGGGAATTCTCCCCGCCATGTCGAAGCCGCATTTTTGGGTGCTTGATGCCCTGGATGAATGCTCCAACGCCAAGTCTCTGTTTGAGTCAATTCTCTGCAAGATGGACGGTTCCGCACAGCCACTGAAGATTCTGGTTACAAGTCGGGAAACACCCGAGCTGTTAACGAGTTTCACTGCCCTTGGCCCGAAGCGGGTTCTTCGTGAGCAGATCTCCACCGAAGAAACGCTCCCGGATATTGAGCGGCTGGTGACAAGCAAAGCCCAGTTCATCATCGCTGAAGATGATCAGAGTCGCGGTAGATTGGTTAAACGAATTATCGACAAGTCCAAAGGCTCGTTCCTGTGGACCCAGTTGGTCCTTGACGAGCTAGCAGATACTTTCAGCGAAGAAGCAGTGAAGCAGGTTCTCGATGAAGTGCCGCGGGGAATGGAACAATTGTATCACAGGGCTCTAGAAACAATGAGTCGGGAGACAAGAGGGAAGCCAATCATCAAGGCGGTCCTTGAATGGACGACCTGCGCATTAAGGCCCCTTACCATTCTGGAGCTAAACGTCTGTTTGGAGATCCAACTTAGGGATAGGTTTCCCCAGCTTCAAGACACAATTGCAGCACTCTGTGGTCAGCTTGTCAGTGTTGATAAACTCCAGAGAGTACAAATCATCCACGAAACAGCCCGAGAATTTCTGCTGGACGAGGGCTTGAGATCCGATTTCGCTATCGACCGAGTTCAGGCGCATACAAACATGGCCCAAGTGTGTCTAACCTTTCTTACCGGTAATGAGCTTCGTCCCGCAAGAATGCAAAGACGTCTTAGCACAAGCCAGCCAGTAACTAAGAAATGGTCAGCGCTTTACGCTTATGCGTGCACCGCATTCTCATATCACCTCTCCAAAGCCGACCCGAGCAGAAACGATCTATTGTCCTTGTTGGATACATTCCTGAAAGCGAACATCCTGACTTGGATTGACCACACGGCCCAGGGTAAAAGTTTGGGACCCATGGTGCGGTCCGCAAAGGAGCTCAAAACTTACACTGAGAGATGCATGGCAGAACGATCGCCCTTACGAAGAGACCTACAGCGCATGAAGACTTGGACCAAGGATCTTCAGCGAATTGCCGCCAAGTTTTCCGCTGCGCTCCTAACGTCCCCCTCTGCTATTTACTCCCTAATCCTACCATTCTGCCCTGAGCAGTCTGCCATACACGATACAAGTCCCAATGGGAAGCGAATCTCCATCGTGGGACTTGCCAACCTGCAATGGGATGACCGGTTGTCCTGTATCAACCTTCGACAAGAGAAAACGAGCGCAATTTGTTACGGGGAGGAATTTCTTGCTGTTGGAGTGACAGGTGGCCGAGTTGGTCTGTACCATCCGACATCCTGTCAGGAATACCGCAGCCTGAACCATTGTGAATTAGTGAGGCAACTTGCATTCAAGGCCAACTCCAACCTCTTGGCTACCTGCGGCCTCAAATCAATCCGGATTTGGAACATTCGGACTGGCGAGCTGCTTCAAACATTCCCGGCTCCTCGAAAGTGCGTTGGTCTCTGGTTTGATGAAGATCACCTGGTCGCTGTTTCCAGCAAGAACGAAATATGGTCCTGGGATATTGAAAATGAGGGATCAGCAAGCAAAAGGCCCATGGTCAGAGTAAATGATTCTCATAACACGGACTGTGAGGCCATTCGTCAAGTCCCAGCCGCCGTATCCGTTGGCATAGCACACAAGATGCTGGCTGTTGCATACAGCGGTAAGCCCATAGTTCTTTGGTACCTCCAGGATGACCAGTTCTACGGCTACTGTGGCAAGAAGCTTGTCGATGGCGAAACTGCAGCGCACCCCATTCAAGCCTTACAGTTC